ACTTTGCTTTGCACAGTGTGTGGCTTGCGATGCAAGTTCAATACCTTCATTAGTCAAGGCTGAGGGGATGTCCTTTGCTCCTGCACAGGGTGGCCACCAACACTGAGATTTCATACTACCACAGCCAGAATGGCAATTATCAAGAATATAAATAAGGATAATTGTTGAGGATGTGGGAGAAAAGTATGTTAATACTTTGTTGATGGCACTGCCAACTAGTACTACCAATTTGGAAAGCAATGTAGAGACGACTCTAAATGAAACCACATATGATCCAGCTCTCCCACTTCTTGGTAATTATGTAAAGATCCAAAATCAGTATTCTATAGCACAATAGCCAAGTTATGAAACCAGCCTAGGTGCTGACCAATAGGATGAATGGATTAAGAACATGTGATATATATACACACACAATGGAGTTCTACTCAGCCATAAAGAAAAATGAAATTATTTCATTTGCTGGTAAATCAATGGAACTGGAGAACATCATGCCAAGTTATATAAGTCAGATTCAGAAAGCAAGGATCAAATGCCTTCTCTCATAAATGTAAGTTAGGGAGACAAAAGGGAATAAAGTTGGGGGATCTTCCAAAAAATAAGAACGGATAGGAGTAGAAATAGGAAATAAAGGGTGAGGGAGGACAATAGGCAAAGGGGAAGAATTTGGGGAATAAAGTTTATCAAATTATACTATGTGCATGTGTGAATATATCACAATGCAGTCCAATTTTATATGTAACTATAATGCATCAATTAAAAGAAAATCAACGAGAGACTGGGAAGATGGTAGAAGGGAGCAAGACAGCAATTTATGATCTCCTGACCACACAGAAAGGAGACAGTGAAGGAAAATCAGAATTGAGAGATGAGTGACAAAGGTTCAAAGACTCAGTATTACCAAGTCTTAGGTCTGGAAATACTGGATACCACAGAAGAAAATCAGCACACGTTTCCCTGATCTGGAACCCAGGCCAGGATAGAGGAAGCGGTGGGGGGCAATAAAAAGAAAGACAGAGAGGGAGTAGACATTTACTTAAACTCACCCACTAAAAACATTTGGAAAGGCAGATAAAAATTTAAGTGTGATGGGAACAGCAGGGCCCTTATAACAGATCAAAGGTTAAAACCAAATTGTGAAAGGAAAGCTGAACCAGGGGTTCACAGCCATCTCATGACAGGACATCTTCCTATGTCCAGACAGCTGGAAATGAAACCAGGGGGAAGTTCCCTGGAGTGGGACCTCATAGGAATAGAGTAAGAAAGAAGTTCTAGAGGAACCACTAGTAGATCCCAAATCAATGAAACTCCCTCTCTCCCTCTCCCCGAAAAAGGGGGTGTGGGGCTGAGTGGACTGCACTGGGAAGTGCGCCTAGACCACCACTGTGCAACCCAGGCAGAGGCAGAGAGAGAAAAAAAAAACAGTAATAGAGGAAAAAACAAACAAACAAACATAAAAACCCTGAGCAGCATCCACTGACCTAGACAGCTTTGGCTCTGAGCAGAGGAAGATGGATCCATGAGGACCACAGCAGCACCAACCACTGATATAGAGGGGACGCACTGTGAGAAGTTCAGGCACCATCATCTTTACAGTCCATACCAGAGGGAAGCTGTCTCAATATCCAGTGACATATCTGATTGCCGGATGGTGGCAGCTATGGTAGAAGGCTGCTAGAACAAGTTCCCTGAATATCCCAGGAAACTTAAGCAGTAGGCACCTGCAAACATAGCCCGAGGGAGGTTAGTTAAGGTGGAAAATTGCATGATCCAAGGCAACAGGGAATGTCTGCTCCCAGCCTGACCAGTGTTCACAAGTGGTGAAGGAAAAGGCATTGTTTAGACTCTGGCTGGACTTTGTATCAGTCAGAGTCAACAGAGGGAATCAATACACTCCATTCATAACCTGGAGTAGTGGAAACTAGAACCCAAGTGAACCACCTGAGTCCCTTTACCTCAGTATCCCAGAGGGCAGCACTGGCCAGGGGCACCTTCAGAAAATCCACATTCATGAAAAGGATCCTGTGATGGGGAGCAGTAGACGGTGACCCATGGCAATCAGTGGGACACTCCAGCCTGCCTCCTGAATTCCTGCACACAATAGAAACAACTAGAACACAACACTGAACTCTCCAAGCATCAACTTCAGACCCCTGAGCTGATAAACCAGAACTGGCTAGTGGGAAGTTCACAGAAAACAGGGAGGTGGCTCCTGTGCCCCAGCAAAGATGGAGGGACCCATAGCCAAAGGAGGATGCACATCTTTCATTTGGGTCTGAACTCCAATGAAACCCAAACCAAGATCCAAAAAGAATTTTCTTCACCTTGGCATGATTTACTATAAATAACTCTTAATGTCTACATTGAACTTTTTCAATTGAATAATAGTGGTTATGCTAATAGCCAAGATTCAACACACTTGACTGTTTTATCTACTGGTTTAACTGGAATCAATCTTCATATCCTTATTTGAGAGGCTCAGTTTATAGCTGCTCCTCTTACCCTTTATATTTATCTTCTTTGGTTATCTGATACTACCTCAAACACATTCTTTCATCCTTCATCCTTCCTTTTCCTTCCTTCTTCCTTTCTTTTCCTTCCTTCCTCCCTCTCATCTCTTTCCCCAATCTTTCCTCTTCCCCAATTTTAGCCCTCATTTAAAATTATAAGCAATTTTAGTCAATTGAAAAACCAACTTTAACCTATTCCAGACTTCACTACAGCTTAGACCTGGATTTGAGGAACTGGGGACAACAATGTCAACATTGTGTTTCTCATAAGGTTCAATAGCAGGAGGCTTGGTAATGAGTGATTGTAGTAAACAGGGTTTCGTGGCATTTCTCAAAGTGGTGCTGATATTGGGATCAACAAAAGTCTCATATTGACTTAAAGTACCAATATCTGGATATTCATCCAACCGAGGGCTCACAAAGTAGTCCCTTTTTTAAAAAAATGACAGCTATCACAACAGATGGGTAGACATACAAACAATATGAAAAGGCAAGGGAACCATCCCAAAAGATTTAACAACCAATCCCATCAACTGATAATGCTTTAACAATTGATCCCATCAACACTGCAGTGGAGGCTAATTTAGAGAGTTCATAGTTAAATTGTTGTATGAGCTAAAAGAAGATATATGGAATGAAAGTAAAGAGAAAATATGGGAAGTAAAGTATCCCTTGAATAAAGAGATAGAGATTCTGAAAAAAAAAGCTGAATGGAAATCCTGGAAGTGAAAGACTCAATAAGCCACATTAAAAATTCAATGGAAAACACCACCAGCAGACTAAACCACTTTGAAGACAGGTTTGAGGCCTCAAAGACAAAGTAAATGATCTTGAAAATAAAGTGGACCATGAAGAAAGGATGTTCAGAGACCACGAAAAAAGCAACATCACACTAGCTAGAGAAGAGCTGAAATCATTTTCTGTAAGGTTAGGAACAAAAGAACATGCGTATTCAATATGCTTTTGAAAGTACTGGCCATAGAAATAAGAGGTGACAAGAAAATACAAGGCATCCAAAGAGGAATGAAGGAGGTCTAAATATCCCTGTTTGCAGATGACATAATTTTATATACATAATCTCCCCTCATTATAAACATCTGGGCTGCAGGCAGCCCCTGATTTCCATGTCTCCTGGTTTCTCAAGGCTCCCATCAAGCTGGCTGCACATGGAGGTAACAGGAAGAGGCTCTCAAGAGACTAACTTCTTTGGGAAGGAAAGAGATGACCCCAATGTTGCTGAAACCAAAAAAATCAACCACAAAGTACAGAAGACATGTGGATCTTTCAGCATAATCAAAATAATAGCAATGATCAGGTAGCACTGTTGCCAAGT